AGTTCTCTCCTCGGTACAGGAGAAAAAGGCGATGTATGGAGCTCCCTGTGCGGGACATGCCAGCCCTTGCGGAGCTCCCTGCCCAGGGAGGGAGGCGGTGCCGGCGCTGCAGCACCGCGGGCCCGGCGGGGAGCGGGGCCGGGGGGTCCCTGCGGGTCAGGGCCGGCCCGACACGGACCGTGCGCTGCAGCTCAGCCAATAAACCCCGCTCCTTATTCTGCCGAACACACAGAGTCACGATATTAGGGGGACTGCTGCGCTCTGCCAAATTTAACCGATTCCAAAATTAATGACCGAGCGCGAGCATAACTGAAATGGCACTGTGCCCTCTTCTTTTTAAATCTATCCATTAGCATCAAGAGGCAGACAGGAGAGGTAATTTAAGGTAACATCAGAAAGTTCACCGAATCAGCGTTCTGGAGAGCAGTGTGTGAATGGCTCCTCTGTTCGCACTCGGGGCACCACCCAGCAGCTCGCCTTGGGCAGGAGGAAACCCTCACATGGAGAGTGGTCCGAGGCCACCGGGAAGTTCAGAAATCAAGACCAGGAGCTGCAGCTTGCTCCCTGCCTCAGCTAATCCCCCTTTGGCAGCTGCCAACACGCAGATAAAGTAACCACTTCGTAAGACAACAAAAGCCACATTTGCAGCGTCTGCTGGTTGTTAAAAGCAAGCTCGCCCTAGAAGGTATAGAAGGTATCCACTGCGGTTCTTTTCTTAAAGGACGTTACCATTTCTCATTTCAAGAGACTCGATTAGTTCCCCAGTTCTAGTGGTCTTAAGAACTGAACAAGTAAAACCCAACCAAAAAGCCATAAGGGTCCTCAACTCTGCAGTTTGAAAAAAAAAAAAAAATAAAAAATTGTGAGCATCAGCATTAACAAAGCCAGCCAGTTCCAGCCCAGGACATATGGCTGTGTGAAATCTCAGCTTTTGCTAACAACTGCCCCACACCAGAAAAAACACAAAAACCAAACCACCAGAGGAAAAAATATATTCTCTAGCCCTCTAGAATAACTTTAAAAATGTCAACTGAAAATGAACACCAGACTTAGATTTATTAGGATAGGGAGGGACAACATCTACCCAAGTTATTTTTAAATGCTTGGGGGACATTGAATGTTTCCTATGCTTCACTACTCCTTGTCATGCCAGCTTATTGAAATTAATTATTCTTAAAATCCGTGTAACTAATCAAAAGGTCAACAATTTCACACAGAACCAGGCTCTGCATAATAATACTCTGAAAGCCTTGAGGCACAGCTGGCTCCGGGAGCTGGATCAAAAGCATCCTTGGGAAGCAAGTCTCTCAATGTCTGTCACTCACCAGGTTTGATGGTATTGCTGAGAGATCTCCAAGGAGGGAACTGGGTTCCTTTTGAACAAAACTAGGCTGGAAGATCCATTTCAGGAGCACTCAGGTCAGGAGTTACTTTAGCACCACTTGCATGACAAAAAGCAGAGACTTTATGCCTGAAATCAGTTCAAGCCCCTTCCTCCTTCCCACTCAGGCAACAGTCTTAGTGAAGAATTTTAGTTGCAAACAGAACTCTGATTAATTTTCCACTGATATTTTAAACTGGAAAATATTATCCTAAGCAGCATTACAGACCAGTTTTGATGTTTGGTCAGCATCCTGTAATGGACAGTACAAGAATTACTCAAATGCATTTCTTAGGGCTTGAAAAACTTCTCTCCCAAGAGAAAAGTCATATCTGCATTTTTAGCATGGACATGCCCGTTTCCTTTCTAGGTGAGCCAAGTTTCTAGCAGGAGTTGGGAAGCAATAAGCACAAGCTCATTTTAAGATACATATTTGAACCTTGATGATTTTAGATTTCATTATCTTTACCGTCAAAGCCCTTCTGGGACAGTAACATTCCTTCATGTGAATACAAGAGTTATTCTTAAGATTATGCCTAATCCACACCTCAGTACTTTCAGGTGTCTTTTCCCAGTAGGATTCCTCCCTCTCTAGGAAGTCTGTCAAAGGCAGTTTTGCAGGTGGGGAGGATTCAGGGCTTCTGCCCCTTCCACCCTTCAGAATGGTTTCCCCTTCACTCTGACACACTAATGCTGATCCTGCTGTATCTGCCCCTATTTGGAGGGCCAGTCTTTCAAGCCACTCCTGTTCTGAAAGGAGGTTCTCAGCAGCAACTTGGGTCTTTTTTTTTATCTCCATCTATAGATGGAGACTAAAGACAAATCTGTGTATGTGGAGCCAGGGCACAAAGAATTGTAGCTTTCACAGCAACAGGAAGGAGCACTTCTCCAAACTTCAACTGATCTTGAAGAACACTGTGCCAGCCTGGGCTGGGCTGCACAACCATCCTGTGGATCCCAACCTTGTGCTGTGCACGGTGCAGAACCAGCACTGCCAGGAGGGGGCTGAGACAGTCTCTGTTCCAGGTCTGCAGGGCTATGCTGAACAGCACCCTGAGATGACTTTTTTCTGCTGCACATCACAGATTAACTATCAGAAGGCAATAATTTAGTGTCTAGCAGTTCACCTCCTTTCCTTCCCACTAACACTCCAGCTCTGGAGAACAGGCTGTTTTCAAGGCAGCACAAAGCACTGCTGAGCAACACTCAATCTCAGTGACTGATACAAGCCAAGTGTATTTAAAGCCATGAGATGACTTTACCAGTCAAACTGTGGGGATGTCTGAGGAGGACTTGACTAAAGCAGAACAGACATGTCTCAGAGTTGCTCTCCTGGAACACCTTTATTTCAAGGACTGCAGTTTCTGGATTCACACCACCTTATCAGCGTGCCAGAAGATTTTGGCAGCACTGAGGTAAACAGCAACGGCAGCATGAGCTGGGGAAAGATTTACTGACTACACAAAGAACAAATACAGCTACAAAGAGCAATCTAAAAATAATCTGGCAGAGCATGGCTAGTAATTGCATGGCTTCTTGCAAGATTTTACTCTGAGGTTTTACCTCAAATGAGAAAGGGCCAACCACAGGAGCTGTGCTGGAGCCACGGGGCAGGGCCACCACTCCCAGCTGGGCAGATGAAAGGAAACTCCCAGCAGAGCAAGCAGCAGGAAAGCCTGATTGCCATGCAATTTTCATATCAAATCATGGTACTAGTATTAGCTGGAAATCTTAGCTACATGGTTAAGAAAATTCTTTCATTTTGCACACTTGAAAGTACTGAAAATCCCTGGAATATTTTATCGGTCACTGTGCAATTTAGCTCCTAGCTCATATTTGCTGTTGTCATTAAACAGTGACCACAATAAATAATTCTACTTTTCTTACTGGATTTGCTTACTACAATAAATGCATTTGCCAGCCCACACAGTACTGGTGACCTGCAAACTGTCCAGGGTTGCTGGGAGAACCCTCAAGGATCAGCAACTAGTTGGTTAGGAAAAGCTATTTTTCCTTCAAATTTGCAGTGCTCAGAACATTTGGATCATCTTGTGCTGCCCAGTCCTGCCAAAAAGCCCAAGCAGGGCCAGACAGTTCTGGGTACAAGCCAGACCTACCAAGTTACCCACTGGAACTTTATTATGACAATTTTTATTTAGTTGTTCATTTCTTAACAGATAAATCAAGAAATTACTGCCTAATAATGCCTTTTCACTGGCCTAAACAGATATCCCACAAAGTTTTCTAGAGTTTTCCAATAGGTATTTTCCATGGAATGGCATTTGCACAGAATTTCCCAACTGCACTGATGGGGCACTGATTGCATTTACTATGAGACTGAAACTCTACAGACTGACTCCTAAATGATCCCCACAAGAAAGTAGTTACACCACAGTGATCATAGAATCAGCCAGGTTGGAAAGGACCTCTGAGATCATCAAGTCCAACCTTTCACTTTTTACATTTTTTTTTTTTTGAAATCCAGTTCAGGTTTTCCCCCATTCCGTACTCTGGAAAACTCCAGTCTGGGTTTTCCTTCCCCCCCACTCCATTCCATACTCTGGAAAAATCCAGCCCGGGTTTTCCCTTTCACAACTCCATTCCATAATCCAAAAACATCCAGCCCGGGTTTTCCTTTTTTTTCCCCAACTCCATTCCATACTCTGGAAAAATCCAGTCCGGGTTTTCCTTTTTACACTCCATTCCATACTCCAGAAAAATACAGACCGGGTTTTCCTTTTTCCCAACTCCATTCCATACTCTGGCCAAAATACAGCCCGGGTTTTCCTTTCCCAATCCATTCCATACTCTGGAAAAGTCCAGCCCGGGTTTCCTTTCCCAATCCATACCGTACTCCAGCCAAAATCCAGTCCGGGTTTTCCCCCATTCCATACTCCGGAAAAATCCGGAGGCCTCCCAAGAGTTTTGAAGCTTCACCAACCATCCTGTTTAAAACCATTATTTAAGTGTAATTCTCCTCCACTAGAATGAACCATCCCTCTAAACGAAGCTGCTGAAACTCTGAAAGCCAACAGTGTTCATACACCAGCAAACAAGATATTAAAGCTGATAAGCACTGCTGGTATGAAGCAAGGTAACTGGAATTACATATCCTGTTTCTCTGAGATCAATTTTAAAAATACTTACTGCTTTTTAATGTGTAGAACAGCACACCTATGGCTTCTGAAGTGAACCAGAACTTTGCCTGACCATCCTTTACTTCAGGGGACTACAACATTCTTCAGCCAAATGTTATCCAGAGAAATCATTTCACTTACTGGGCTCTCATGACTTTGTTCTTTGAGACTGCAGACCTGCAAGGATGGCTCCAATCCATGAACTGTAAACATGGATCAATCAACCTCAACAGGAATGGAAATGTCTTGAAATCACTTAAGCATGCATAAAAAAAAGAGAGGAAGAAGAGGGTAATAACATTAAGCAGGAATCATCAATACCTAATATCAAGACAAATTAAGCAATTCAGGTGTTGCCTCCCCTCTCCTGCCCAATGTTTGACAGTGAAATCCAACTCACCCATTTTGCTGCCTTCATCACTTTGCCCCTGCAGATTAAAAATGCATTCCCAGGAAGAGTTCTTAAAACAACAAGCAAATCCTTTAAATGAAAATTTAAGTTTATTTTGAATTTTTAAAATGTCATTTCTATCAATTTAGACACACCGTTTGACATTATCAGATCAGAGAATTTACAGTGACTCATGGATAAAGATTTGGCTTTTACATTCAAATGTTAAATACTTCAGAATAGCTTTGTCTTGTTATTTCCAAACCAGAAACACTAAGGAGCATTTTATTTTGCCTTTCAACCACCTTTGTTAATTAACAGACTTTTGATATCTGCTGTACTTGAAGGGGAATGTGCAAAACACCAAAGGAATTACTCTGTTTGAATGAAGTGAGTACCTTAATTACAGTTCCAGATTTAAGACTCATTCATGGTAGCATTAAAAGACAATGCTAAAACATGATTTTTTAAAAAATATACTTTCCTCAAGTAGGCTGCAGAACCTGACCAAGTTAAAAGCCTCTTTATGAAGATAAAAAGGTCTTGCTATCCAACGTTAACATCACTCAGTCTTACAGTTTAGCAGGTTTTGTCTGGTTTTCATTAATTATTTTGGAAACTATTACAAAATTTCATCACTATCCTAACACAATCCTTGTATTAGTGTTCAACAACGAAGTTCATTTCATCTATCAGACTTAATTGTGTTGATTTTATTGCTTACTATAGTTTTTCTTCTTACTCTAGCACTACCTTGAAATGGGTCGTCTCCTCACTGCAAATGTTTGTTGTTGATCCAATTTGCCCATTGTGGCAAGGAGAGTGTCCCTCAGGCTTGTACAACTTCATTAACTGTTCCCAAGTGACTGCCACCCTCCAGGAGGGACAGCCTCCCCACCAAGCATCTGAGAAGTTCAGAACTCCTCCAGTTTGTAAAAACAACGTGAGCTCCAGAGCCCTGGGAAAAAAAAGCTTTTCAGTTTTAGCCTACAACTGCCAGGATGTGCTGACAGGGGGAATCTCAGGAAGGTACTCACACAGTTTGGGTTCCTTTGCACACACACCTCGGCAGAACAGGCTGCTGTGCCTTCAGCCAGCAAGGAGCACGTCATGGAAGAGCTGGGACAACAGCAGCAGCTTTCTGCTGGAATCAAGCCTTTGTAGCATGAGCAAATTTGGGGCAGGGGGGAAGCACAGGTTCTGTTTCTTAAGAGGAAAATCCTTGTCAAATCTCACATAATGCATTTTCTCCCCCACCTTCCTTTTCCCTGTCTGATGGCTCAGCACCAAAGTGTGCCAGGAAGGCTCTCAGTGCCCCATTCCCTGGCACATCCCCTGCCCAGCACACACAGCACCAGGGAAAGCTCTGGGACATCACACTGAGAAGCCAGAGAAGAAACACAAATGCATCCTGACCTTCCCTGCTGGTAAAAGTCTGTTAACCTGCTTAATCCACAGGAATGATGATATGTAGCTTCACACCCAAGGAAACAAGTGTATTCACAAGCCTTTACAGTTCTGCCCCTGATGCTGTTTGCACATTTGTTTTATTCACTCTTTTGGATGACTATAAATAAGTGTTTCCACTATGGAAAAGAAAGTTAGCACAGTACATTTTCATGACTGGGGAATGGATTTTTCTGAAGACACCTTCCAAAGGGCAAAAGCTTAGAAAAAAACAACCTGAATGTTGATCTGTGTTCCTTATAAAGTCCCTTGTAAAAAAATTAAAAAAAAAAAAAAAGGCAAAACAACAAAACAAAAAAAAAGAAAAGAAAGAAAAAAGTAAAGGAAAAACTGCAAGGCCCAGGATGATTTTATTGCTTTTCTTCAGTTTTTTCCTTGGTCTCCTTCTTCTCAGATTCTCTGCTTTCTTCCTTTACAGAAAGCTCTTCTAGTTTTTCAGCAACTTTATCAGCACTATCATTTTTGTCTGTGCCTGCTAAAAGATTGATTAGGAAAAGTGTTACATAGAGGCAGTAATGGATTTTCCTGTTAGAGGGGAAAGAGCAGAGAAGTGGAGGGTGAGGGGAGGGGAGAAACAGCTGGTATTCAGAATGTGAACAAAAATAAAGACATTCTCCACTGACCACTGGAGTGACTCATTCCATTTCTTTTCCTCTGGTAATTATTATCTCAGATGTCAGAGTTCAAGAAATACCACTTGCATATGTTAATCACCACATGAGGGCCTAATTACAGGGACTGAGCAGTGTGTCACAACTGGCCAGCTGTGCTGCTGCCAAGGACAAGCTCCACACAGGGCCCAGACAAGGCCCCAGCTCCTTGTCAGCTGAACCACAACAACCAGAAGTCAAGTTCCCCAGTCTGAAACCGAGGAACAGGAGTTCTAAAGACTGGCAAAGCCCAGTCTAAGCACCTTGAATAATGCTGATGCAGACCACAAGTAGTCTGTACTTAGAAAAGATGGAATTGTTTGTTTGATATGGTGACACGGCACACAGGCAGTTCTATAAGGTGGTGCAACAATCTATTAAGAGACCTGTGAATAAATGCTACAACTTCATACACATCAACAACGATACAAAACATTAAATATTATACTTGCATGATTATAGTTTTGTGGAATTGGGGAAAGGGAACTGGGAGGAAGAAGTAGGACTGTGGTTGCAGTGTTCACAGTTCATTTTATACCATAAACCATAAACAATTCTCTGGTGTGCTTTCAAAAGAAGCAATGTCCCAACAGCAACTGTAACAGCCTTCTACAGCAAAGAAGGCCATGGTCACTGGAGTGAGCTTTACTCTTGCAGACAGAAAAGCACCTGAACTGAAGGCTGCAGTTCAGCACAGAGTGAGTCTGCTGGAACACCACACTCCAGGGCACTGGCACCACTCACACAGCTGGAAAACTGAGACCACCTTACCTTTCTTTGCTTTCTTGCCTACTTCATTCCTGCATTCTTCAAATTTTGCCTTGAATTTCTGTGCATCTGTTTCAAAAACGATAAAATAATTTTTTCATTAGTTTTAATGCCTCACAACATTGAATACTTCTGATCCTGAGGAGAGACACCCAACAAGGAGCTGTGTAAACAACATTTGTAGGGACCTCTGAAGTAACCTAGTAAATCACACAGGATGCAAAATTCTTCAATCACATCTTTGTGCAAAAGCAGTTTATTTTCTTCAGCAAGTCTACTGAAGCAGTTTATTTTGCAAAATAATCAAAATGTAATGCCAGCAGGAGCTGTTTTGTAGTTATTGCAACTCCCAGCTGTCTCCAGCCTACAGGAATAGGAACATGATGTCAGAGACTGCTCACACGACTATCTGTATGCAAAAGACTGAAGATTAGCTCTGAACTATTATCTTTGTGAGCTGTGTTATACCCCAGGAGTCTTCCACAACCTTCCCATGGACTTGGGTTCTTAGCATGAACAAGGCCTGTTCCATCAGTACAGCACTCACACTCTGGCCCCAGGGCTGCTCTCCCCCTGTTCCTGAGACAAGAGCTAAGAATGCACAACTGTCAGGATGTTTTGGTCTAAGCCACCACTGGATGCACTCCAACCAGCTGATTTAGTTACACTGATGTTTCTACACAAGTAACACCAGCACAGGAGACAAAGGAGGAATGGGCACCGTGCTTCCCAACCCCAGAGTGACAGAGGTGATTCCTGTGCCAGGCTGGGCTGGGTGACCACACGAGGTCACTGTTGCCCACAGGAATTCTGGAAGCACTGTGGAACCAGCCCAGGAAGAGCTTGGATCGATTCCTTTTCAAGCATCTCAAACAGAGGAGACACTTGAAGGACATCCTCCTGTCTGTTCACCTGTCATCTCCTTAGTCAGAGCTGCAAAGGGCAAACAGCAGGAGAGGGATTCTCCCCCAGGACACAACATTCAAAAGGCTCAACAGCCTCCACCAGGAAGAGGGAAAGACTTTTCAAAGATGAGCAAATAGTTACCAAACCCTTTTAATTTCCTTTTTGCTCATGAGGCAAGCACTAAGCAAGTGGATCAGAGAGATTTGTTTGGCTAAACAATGAGGTTGGATATAAGCACGATACACTAAGTTCTTCCCAGATGTAGGCAAATCCATCTAGTTTTAAAATACACTTTTTGATCCATCTAGCATGTGGAGACAAAAGAAGGCTAACACACTAAACTTGTGTGGCAAATTGTAAAGCAGGAAATGCAACACTTTTTCATTTCACTTCTTTAAAAAAAAACCCAATAAACCAAAACAACATAAACCCTCCCCCACTCAGACACTACTTTGATTTAATCCTAGCTGATCCATAATTAGAGTTACTTTGCTGTTCTGGTAGTCACTGTAGTCACTCCAGAAAAACCCACAAACTAGTCTGATGGGTTTGACTGGCACTTTTCACTGAGAGATCCACTTAATCAAAACACAGAAGATACTACATATTTCATTTTAAAAAAACCCAACACTTAGATGTTCTGCTAATGCAGATGGACTAGAAATATCAGATCAGGATTTCCCTGCTTCTAATGCAAATATCTAATATTAACTACAATTCAGCACCTGACATAAATGAACGCAAGCTGCATGTGAGCCTCTAAACTGCTTTTAGTTTTACTCTAATTGGCATTGCACTTGCATGAAATGGCTTAGGTTAAAAAAAAGTGCCTAGGGCAGAGATTGAACAAATATTCCTAAAGGCCTAATTACTACAGTGTTTGTCAACACACATGGTTTAGTGATTAACAGATAAAGAAGTAATTAGCTAACAGTGCCATGCAGGGTGAGACCCAGTGTATCTGCAGCAGTGCTTTACAGCAGTTCAGACAGGCAGTGCCACAACAGTTTATACACCCAGGGATAGTTCAGTGCCACTCACTCTCTGCGTTTAGAAAGCGGATTGCCAGGAGTTCAGGCTTGGGGCACTCGTCTGCAAAGTCAGCGTGTGTGTTCCAGACCCAGGCCCTGTCGCTCCCGGCATTGGGCTTCAGCTCCATCAAGGGTGTGACTGAAAAGAAAGCATTGCAAGATGGACAGAGCACAACAGGAAAGGTTTTGCACACCAGCCTCCAGAAATCTCACTGGCAACAGGCTGCAGTGGTTACGTAGAGCAATTTACACAGAGTTACTTTGGATAAATTAAAGACAGTGGTGCCCATATATAATTTTCCTTACATCACCAAATAAAACAATGCACCATCACCGTGTAAGAGGATGCTGGATTCCCTACTGTTAAAAAACTGAGGGTTTGATTCAATTTTTTGTTTAAAACAGATGACTGTGATACTAAGATGCAGTCACCAAGCACAACTCTGAAGGCAAATGATTTAGGAGGAAAAGGTATCCAGATAGACAAACAGCATTCATTCTTCCTTTACACACTGAAAATACTACCAAAAATTAGTTAAAAAAAAAAGCATTATTCCTTCAATTAGTCATCAAATTGAGTTAACTTCTCTGCCATCAATTTAAAGCTGTAGTACAAGGTATGACAGTTCTGTGTATTTTCAATCTCTTTGTTTCCTCCCAGTAAACAGAGCCCTTTCCCTCCAAGATGCTCCAATTACTTCACCTGACTGACTGGGGAAGTTCTCACACTGCTCTAAGACTTTGTGCATTCCAGACATGCAAAGTTTAAGGAGGGCTTTTTTTATCCTTGATCCCTTGGGTCCTGTTTAGTTCAGGAGAAATCTGAAGAGTCTACTCCCTTCCTTGCATTTTTAAAATCTAGAGATCAAATTACATTTTGTTCCATTCAAGGTTTTGCAAAAATGAAGAGAGTCCTTTTGTCTGCCTGTGAGTCAGCATAACTTCATTGAACAAATCTATGCTGAGAGCAGCTTTTCCAGGAAAAAAAACCCAAACAAATTTTGACATGAACAATGTAAATTTATCAGTTCTGTCTTGTATATGCACAACATTTATTTCCTTAAACAAAAGTTTTTTTCTTGCTGGTTGGTGGCTGCACTGCTTTCATATTTGCCATTTCATTTACTAAACAGGAACACCTGTGCCTTTGAACATTCTGAAGGATCTACCCCAAGAAAACAAGAATTACTGTTTCTGACTTGAGGTTTGTATTAAGCTACTTCTTATTTTAAGTTATCTAAATGTAGTTTAACTCCACAGAACACTATATGCTCCTCCTATAAAATCTGAGTATTACCAAAGCAAGCAACAAAGTATTATCAAATTAATCTACTTGTTGCAAGTTATGCTGACTTTCAAGTATGTCCTGCACTTTCATGTTCTTTTTATTCAAAGAGGATTCTTTTTTGAGTGAGTCAGCCCAATGTACCACATTCATTACAGTTTATTTCACAAGCAGGGAAGGGCAGACACAGATTAATTTGGCACCTCAGTATCTGTTTTCTGATGGTTAAGGGATTGGTTCTAGCAATTCCAAGACTTAGCTCTAAGTAGTAAATTATTACATGATGGGTTTTCTCACCCTTTTACAAAAGCAAACCAGCATACACTAAATTCTTATCCCAAACAGTATTAAGGCCTGCATTTTCTATACTCTATAAAGCATTAAAGTAAACTACACACAACTGGAAGTTACATAATGCCTGTCTATCCCAGCTAAATTTTAAAGTGACTTTAGTTAGTCTTAGAGCAGCATCAGAGTCCGAAGGAAAAAAATTGCAGCTTCCTTGCATTAACAAAAATAAGCCCTGATGGTTTTTGATGCTTGTGGCCTTGTGTGAAGAGCAAGGGACAACTGTATTTACAGTCTAATATAAATTTGATGTGTGTTCAAAAGATGTACAGCACCTCTGTAGCTGCTACTAAAAACCCACCAAGTCCTTAATCTGCACCGTACAATTCTGCAGAGCCGTTTTTTAAAACCAAACTAAGAATTATTGTGGTGTAGAACGTACTGTAATGGTTTGCACAGATTTTGAGAGTTTTATCCCTCCGCATGAGGAGGCGAATTGTTCCCTTCTCCTTGTGTTTCAGGAGTTTCACATCCCCAGTCCCTCGCTCCTTCCACTCGGGATGCTCGTTCTCGGATGCGAACCGGAACAGCTTCGCTCGCCTGGAACAGGAGAGACTTTCATTAGTCTGCATAGAAACATTCACTGAAACCCCACACCTGACTCAACAGCACAGTGGGTTTGAAAGCCACACACCAGAAGAAAACAGTTCCTTTTATAAGGGTCTCTGTTCTAATTCATCACACGGATTTAGAAACTGATGGGATAAATTAAAATTTAATAATAAGCAATTAGAAATGATGTAATGACTATATTAAAATCCAACAGGCTCTGGACACTCTTTGAGATGATAAACACATTTGGTTTAGGTAACCTTTTAAATTCAGGGAGCTAATTAACAGGTGTTGCTATAGCCAGAGTTCTTATATATAGGTACAACTGCTTCATCTTCCCAGCAATAGTAATTCACAAAATTTAGAAGCTTAATGCTAAGTAAAGACTCTTGTAAAATTCCAAGCCCAATGTTTGATCAACTATTAAAGTGCCTCACCCTCTAGAGTCACTCATTTCCCTTTAACTCCAAAAGTCTACTTGCTGCTCTCCTTCAATCAGGAATAAAGGAATGTGTCTGCTCCAGAACATCACTGCTGAACCTTCCAAGATGCCACCAGAGGAGAAACAGGAGGAGTTTGGGATATTGGTCAAAACTGAGCCAAGACACAGCCTGAGCTCTGCTAATGAGGAGTTTAAGACACTGGTATAGAACAGGAGGCACCTGCTCACAACTGCAAAGGAGAGGCACTTGTAATAAACCAGGGGCTTCAAGAGAAAGTGTCAAATGTTGGAGCAAGTTACTCTGACAGAGGCTCTGACTCACATTAACCACTTGGAGCAAAGCAAGTCATTCCTTCCAAGTCCAGCTGGCATTCAACAGGTTATTCCTCAAGTTTAACTATCAGAACCACCAGCATTCACAAAAAAAGGACTCCTTTCCTCCATCACCCCTTTGCAGACATGAAAATTAACCTACAGAACACTGGAACTTACACTGTTATTTCACTACCACTGTAAGGAGAACTCAACCCTCTCTTCCAGATGAGCAATAATATTCTGTGATTAAGTAAAACCAGTATTTTTTAAACTTACTTAAAGCAAGCACATCAGGGATCAAATTCAAAACACTTCTTAAGCCTTTAGGCTAAACTTTTCTTCAGGCAGATCAAGCTATCCTGATTTGACACTAAGCCCAATCTAGGGATAAATGCCCCAATGCTGCATCTACTGCTTTTATGATTTCAGTACATTGTGGATCACCCTCTACCATGGCAGCAACACCACATACATCTCCTTTCTTTCCTCACAAGATACTTGTTTTACGCTGCAATCACACAACTTCAAGCCCCTAATTATTATTTAAGTTATTGTTTTGTTTCATGCTAAGCAGTGCTAAAGACAGATCTGCACTATCAGCTCCCTTCTATCGTTCCAAACTTCAGTTTCTTGGGGCATTATTATCAGTCACCCCCCAGTCAATCTCTGCCATCACAGTAAACACCAACCAAATTGCATTACAGCTTCATGCAGCTTCTTATAAACAGTCAAGTTAAAGCATAATAAGCATTCAGATAACAGACAATTATTCCACTTACATCTTGAAGAGTTCTTCCTCATCCTCTTCCAGAGTTTTTATTTCTTGCTCAGGAAGGGAAACTATGGGTTCAAAGTGAGGGTCGTGGTTAGAATCATCTGTATTTTCAGTAGAAGTATCATGCTCCTCGTGTGCTTCCTGAGGAGAGAGAGAACACAAACAAATAACTATGCTGTGAACCTAAAGCCTGGAGTGCTTATATTTAAAATTAAAACCTTTATGACTTTTCAGCAATTAGATCTTAGTGACTGAAATACCCTGTAACAGTAAAGAAAAACTATTATAGCTGAAAACAAGTGGCTTTCAAGTCAACATATGGTTAAAGTATGAAACAAAAAGGTGCTCATGCAGTGTTGGATGTTTTAATCCTACCCCTCATGAACTGTGCAGAGGCTTGGCCTTGGAGCAATAACTCTTGGTTATGGAAAAGTAATTTCTTCAACCATTTCTCCTATATAATGTGCTTTATGCTACTAAAACCCTACTATTTCTTAGTGTCTAATGGGAAAAATAGAAGAAAATCCCCCACAACAGCATACCAACCACCTGACCCAGCTTAAGGGACAGACTGCATCCCAAGTTCAGCATTCTGCTTTATGTATTAGAATCACCAACAGCCAAAGATATTTTTGATGCACAGCTCTAAACCTCATGCAATAATTTAAGTTTTTTGCTTTAATACTCTTCCAGGAACTTTAGGTTATGGGTAAATGGGCAAACTACTATTGGAGTTCTATTTAAGTTCTTTAGGAATCTGTCACAGCATTCATTAAGCTTAAGAACAGTTTTCACTATTGTGACTAGTAGGTAAGTGATAAACATCTGTAGTGCTTCATACCTATGGGCTGCTGAGAAGCACTCACTACACAAGCCTAGAAGGGAGATTCAAATGCAAGTTTAATGAAGCCACAAAACAGCTATCTCGGGACAAGAGAACTGATTCAGGTTTAGCTTTTTTTGTTTCTGCTTGAATAACAGAGAAAGGAAAAACAGTCCATCCGTTGGGGACACTTAAATCCTATTTTACTTTACAGATGAAGGAGTCCACTCTTACAGGCTCTATGCACAACATCCTTTACAGTGCAGGATACAGTTTGCATACATAAAGCAACTGAAATAAAGCAGCCTATTTTTACTAAATAGTGAAAAAAAAGGGGGGGGAGGGGAGAGGGAGGAGAATAAGGTAAGAAATGTTGCAAAGTAAAAATCCAGTTGTGTCGACAACGTCAAACGAGGCATCGTTAGTTTTATGTCCCCAGCGTTCCAGAATGGGGGAAAAAAAAGCCAGAAAGGCGTTACGTCACATCTGTTTTCAAAAAACAGGAAAAGAAGCATTAGCCAAACTTTTATACATTGTCCTGTCCTGTGCGAGCAGCACGTCCCGCCTGGCGATTCATCGTCCATCCTGCGCCCGAGCGATGAATCACAGAAGGCATGAGAAAGGCCCCGGGCACAGCGGGCACACGTGAGAACGCGGGTCCCGCTATCACGATATCCCGCGACACGGAGCACGTGGGGGAGCGGCGGCGGCACGAGGGGTCCGGCCGGGCGGGCCGGGGGAGGGCCGGGAGAGGGAGAAGAAAGGAGGGAGACGGGGGAGAGGGATCGCCCGAGAGCGCCCGGGGGAAACGGCCGCGGCGGGTGGGGCGGAACGGCCGCAACGCCCCGGCCCCGCGCGGCCCCCGGCGCGGCCCAGCGCTCGTCCCGGGCCCTGCCCGACCCCGGCCCCCCGCCCCGGGCCCCGCCTGTTTCCTCCGCTCTCCTCGCCCCCCGGCCCCGGCCCCGCCGCCCGCCGGCCCCGCCGCCCGTCCCTCACCGCGGTATCGGCCATGGCCCCGCTGTCCGCGCTCCGCTCGCCGCTTCCTGCGCGCGCCCCGCCCGCCTTTACCTCATTCCCGCAGCCCGCGCCGCGCCGCCGCGAGGCACGATGGGAAACGCCCGCCGCCCTCAGCCCCGCCCCGGCCCGGCCACCGCGCTGCCCGGCCCGGCCCCGCCGCACCGGCATCGGGCCCCGCCGCCCGTCCCGGGGCCGCTCCCCGTGTCACCGGCCCCCGCCGGCCATCCCCGTGTCGCCGCTCCCCCCTCCCCGAGAAGCGTTTTTGTTGTCCCCGTTCCCCGGCGCTCTTCCCGGCGCCCCCCGCGCCATGGCGGCGCCCGCCCGCGGCGGGGAGGGGGGCCCAAGATGGCGCGCGCCCGCGTGAGGGGGGAGGCGGCGTCCGAGCCGCTCCTTTCATTGTGGTGTCTGAGGGCCGCGGCCGCGCCGAGGGGGTAGAGATTAAAAAAAAAAAAACCAGCCCGATCGTCCCCTCTGCCGCCGTTCCCCTCGCAGCGGCCCGGCCGTGACGCCGCGGCCCCGCCCCGGGCGGTGCGCGGGGCTGGCTGAGGGGCGGCGGGGCCATGGCGGAGGAGCGCGGTCCCTGCGAGCCCGGCCGCCTCACGGCGCCGGCGGACGGGGCTGGAGATGGCGCCGAGCCGGAGAGCCGGGCCGGGGGAGACCCCGCCGAGAGCCCCGACGTGTACAGATACATCAAGGGAGACCTGTTCACCTCCGAGATCTACAAAGTGGAGATACAGAACCTGCCCAAGTACATCGGCTTTAACGACGTGAAAAAGTTCCTCGCCAAGTACGGGCTCAGCCCGCACAAGATCAAACTGTTCGGGAAGCAGACGTTCTCCTTCGTGACGTTCAAGAGCGAGGAGGAGCGGGACAAGGCCGTGCGGGTGCTGCAGGGCGCGCTCTGGAAGAGCCGCCGGCTCAGCGTGCGCCTGGCCAAGCCCAAAGCCGACCCCATCGCCAAGAAGCGGCGGCAGGAGGAGGACGCGGAGCCGGGGGAGGCGAAGCGCGCGGCCCCCCCGGGGGACGAGCCCCCGAGCAAGCGGATCGCGGACGTGGTGACCCCGCTCTGGAACGTGCCCTACGAGGAGCAGCTGGCGCAGAAGCTGCAGGAGTGCGAGCAAGTGCTGCAGAAGCTGACAAAGTAAATTGCCGTTTGTAACGCTACTGTAGTGTGCGCGAGACTTGGCCCTGTGATGGGATGTAGCTAAGTTCGCACCTCTTAAAATGAAGGGAGTTAGAGGTAGGTCAAAACTCACGTGCCCTGTCAAAGTAAATGGAAGATTAATCTGCGATGGTAGGGCCTAAAAGCTGTTCCAGTTGGCAAAACTTACTGTTCTTGGTCAGCTTCAAAAAATTGCTAAATGAAGGGGAATTGGTTTTAAAGTCTGTTGTTCCATAAGCGGGAGGATGTCTGTGCCCTTAAAAAATGGCATTGCCAAAGGGTATAAGAGATAATCAGTCTGTAGAGATGGTAAATTACTGTTGGGATTTTCTCTTTTAAAATCCCTTCAAAATTTTACGCCCTGTCTTTGTAGATCAAAGTATCACTTCTGTCTGTTGCCTTACCTGGATAAAATTGGCATTCTTTTCATGCATGGCTACATTGATAAATCCAGTACATACCATTGTAACTGCATTTAACCCTTATTTTTTCAGGTCAGCTCTTATAAAGTTGGAGAGGGTTTGTTAAAAAATTCTGGAAGAAATACTCTTCCATGTGATAATCTGATGCGTTTTTGAGCCCTATACAAGAAAATGTTTTGTGCAACTGTTGACCTCAACTTTTCTAACTGCGTGCTTTATACTTTTTGTTTCTGATTCGGGCAGGGAAATAGGAAATAACAACAGAGCTTTATTACCTTGGTTGTTCCTGCAGAAGCAGAAGTTTAATAAATTATGTTGCCCGGTGGAGGGAGTGAAAGCTTCACCATTACAGGTAATGTCAGCCCAGGTACAGTGTGGGCTGGGGTTAATGAGCTGAGGGGTACATTCCTTATTTGGCCTTATGAGACAGTGGACAGTGAGTATTCAACTTCATCTTGTAATAATAAATGATGAATTTTAGACATTGTTGCCTTTCATATAAATACTGTGTGGACATATTTACAGGAAGCAGAAAAATAGACACAATTAACTGGATATTCTGACTTTAAAATGAATATGCTGTCCCTGCAAGCCTGTGTTGTAAGCTAATACATTCTTTAACACAGGCAATAGTTTGCTCTTTAGATAATAAGACTTCCTAATACTTTTCAGTGTTATCTTAGTTCACACACGTCAAAATCCATGAGTATCTTCCATATGAACTAAATGTCCTGTGTCCGTTTGCAAATGCATTTAACCATATGAGATTTGTTTCAGGAGAAACTTGGCATGTACAAATAAATGCTTTATAAATATCTTACATAACTTTATTTTGAATCTAGACCGAATATCGCAACAAATGTGAGTTCTTGATTGGGATTGGTGTAAATCAAGAAGACAAAACTGTGGGTTGTCGTCTTGGCAAATATAAGGGTGGTACATGTGCTGTAGTGGAGCCATTTGATACTGTTCACATTCCTGCTATTGCCAAAAAAGTAGTAAAAGCTTTCCAAGACTTCATAAGGTGAGCATAAGTAAAATGAGTTATCCGTAAAGGTTTTGATATCTTACTGAAAAAATTATTTGTAAAATGAAATATTATGAAAAGCTTAGTGTTTGTTCTGAGCTTGAAGACCTAAGATGTACCAGCCTCGATTTTCAGTGATTCTTTCTTTCCACCTTGTCCCTGGATCATGGGCTCCCAGGGGATTTTTCCCTTGCTCTTGCTGGGCTGCTCTGAGAGGGGGGGACAGGTACAAACAACACAGTTTTATTGCAAGCAGTGGGACGTGTAAGTCTACAATAAAAAGTGTGTGTTAGTTGTGAGCTTCTTCCACTAACTGCAAAGAAAGGCTTTTAAAAGGAGAAATTTGAATAACAAAGGTCCACTGCTTCCTGGGAGGAAAAGAATCATCCTACAGCAAGGAATAAAACAGAAGTTGTACATTTAAGCAACAATACTTTTTTAGAAAAATGAGTGCTTTCTTTAAAAAGCAATTAAATCCTCAAAAATGGAAACCTCAGATGAATCATGAAGGTGGAAGGTTTGAACTTGGTATGAAGCAGAGAAGCTAATGATATAAAAGGCTGTGTCATTCTCTGAACGTGATGAGAAGCTGCCTGTTGCCTCTCTGGCATTTTAGATGGGTTAAAATAGGAAAAAGGATTTTGAGAACTAGGCACACATTATGTGTGTTGTCTCTTCATCAATCCTTTCTGTTCTTTTCTCTTAGTTGAGATGTATAAGTCCTTTCTTGTCAAATCAGTGCAGCCTCCGCTTGTACTTACATTTTTTCCATCACTTTGGACAGTGACCTTTTGTGTCTATAAACTGTTTAATGTTATGCAAAAAAAAAATAATTCTGTGTATGAGTAACAGAGCTTCTGCAAATTGCAGGTCAACCCCCTACTCAGTTTACAGCCCCGAGACCTACGAGGGGCACTGGAAGCAGCTCACTGTGCGCTCCAGCAGGAGCGGCCACGTCATGGCCATCGCCTACTTCAACCCCCAGGTACTGCCCTGGGGACAGGGGGTGCAGCCCTCACACAGCTGGGGAAGGGCTCACATCTGGGATTCCTGCATGCAAAAGGGAAATACAACCACTGGTGTAGTCTGCCTTGCATTGCTACTCCAGTTCTCTTTAGACTGATACGTGGACATGAACAAGTTGCTCATATGTTATAAACAGTACACACTAAATGACATCTCCAAGTTACTCACATGATTATTCTCCCTTCTTTCCAATGAAACCTCTAGAAATTAAGTAAAGAAGAGCTGGCTGACCTGAAAAGCTCTCTGGCAAAATACTTCACAGAAGGGCTGGGACGGAGCAGTGGTGTCACCTCTCTGTACTTTGTGGAGGAAGGACAGAGGTGAGGGAGTTGATGTCTCTGGGGGACTGTGCTGCATGTTTTGTGTTTGCAGAACAGCAGGTAGCACTTGCACAGCCTTGTTTGGGCTATTTCAGAGAAGTAGCATCAGTGTTAGTCATTTCTGCAAGTTACTTACCTTTTCCACAAGGGACTGTTGGAATTTCCCATTCTCTGGATGAAGGCAGGTAGAGTTTCAGTGGGTGAACCCCCCAGTTGTTGCTGTCAAGCTGTGGAAGTGTTTGCTGCAGGAGATGGATGTTTATTATTATCAAGTAACTTCTACCTCCTTTCTTCCCTATTTCTGTGATTCTTTTAACCTCCCCATCCTCCCTCATAGAGCACAAGGCTCACACCACCTTCATCCAGAGATAGTGTAGGTCCTACAGCAACCAGCAGTGGAACAATTGCACACTGCAGGGCAGAAATGACCAAGAAGACTCTCTAAGGATGACAAATGTTACTGCTTAGGATGTAGCACTACAATTTTTGGGGTGACTGCTTTGGTAAAAATTGTAACAAACATGTTTGTCTTCTTTTTGTTTCTCCCCTATTTTGTCTCCCCATTGTTCCCCCACCCTCAGGAAATCTCCCAACCTCGAAGACTTGCCTTTGGAGCATGTGGCTGGTGACAAGTACATATATGAAGAACTTCTTGGCCTAAAATTTAGAATTTCTCCTCATGCATTTTTTCAAGTAAGGATGATGTGAAGTTCCTAATTTCACTGGATTTGCATTAATGCCCTTGAGCTTGACTAACGCTGTGGAACAAGATATTATATATCTAGAGATTTCATCTTTTATATTTAGTGTGATTAAATATCTCTTTGGGCTGTAAAAGCAGTGAAGGAGTGTAAACTTGATGGGAGCACACTGAAAACAACTTTTTCTTTATACGAGTTCCTTTTGTTTGCCTCCTGTTCCATGGCAGTCTTTTGGTAACACTCAACATGCAGTGGATGGTTTGGGAATCTTGCAGGACTCACTTTTGTTTGCTTGTCCAAAACTTATTTCGAGCCTTCCAACACTTTAAATGTGCGTTTTTAACTTACACATGAAGTTGAGTTGTGTCTTAGGAACAAGAAAACAGGCTTTGCTAAGGCTCACTGAAGCACATTTCCCATGGATGAGGAAGTTTATCCCTTGGAACTCCCTTCCCAGGTGAACACGGCGGCTGCAGAGGTTCTGTACGAGGCCATCGGGGACTGGGCGCAGCTGAGCCCCGACAGCACCGTGCTGGACATCTGCTGTGGCACAGGGACCATCGGCATCTCCCTGGCCAAGGTGAGCCCCTGCTCCTCCTGGGGACAGCTGGGTTAACTGCCTGGGTTAGCTAATTTAGGGTGGTTACAATGAAAGAAAATACCCGATACGTTTGAAATGCAACACATTGCATCTTAATTTTTTTCAAACAATGTCTAATTAAACTGCCTGCAGCTGTTTTACCAAGTCAGTATGGAAGCTCACCTTTGTGTTGAGCAGCCTGAATTATTTTGAAACTATTTTAGTCTGGGCTAGTTGACACTAACTAGTCTGAGCTTTCTCACCAAGCTCTGGCTACGAATAACCAGCATTTCTTACATCTGGGTAGAGTGGAGTTTGCTAGAGCATGCGAGGAAGTCTGGCCCCCAAAAAAGAAAGATGCCAGCATAACTGGAGTCTGTCTGCCCCGTACAGGTGGGGATAAAGGGTGTTCATCCCACAGGTTCAGTTGAAAAAGTCACTATGGATTTGCACAGGTCCCTTCTCAGCCTTTTTCTGCCTGCAAGGCAATAATTCCGTGACCAGGTACCAGGCAAAGTTCCTGGTAATTGCTGGTTCTATGAAAAGTGGTTGAACTTACACAGAGGGAGCTTTTCCCCTTGATTCTGTAGAAAGTGAAGAAGGTGATTGGAATTGAACTGTGCCAAGAAGCTGTGCAGGATGCCAAAGCCAATGCCCAGATCAATGGTGAGTTGAGCTGAAATGCTCTGTTTGTTAAGCACTGGTTGTACAGCCAGTTGCTCTTTACCTTATCTGAGCAGCCTGGAATTACATGTTGTTGATAGTGATCTTGTCCATTTTAAACACTTGATCTCTCTTGAAAACAAATACCATGTTAACCCACGAGATCAATTCGCCCATTGACTAAAAGCAGCTTTTTTTCCTTCTTCAAAAGTAAAACATTCCAGTGGAGAAGTGAAATGAAGCCACAGTTATCCTCCTAAATAAAACATTAACATTAGCTGCTGTCTGTGGGGTTTTGCTTTAGTCCAGATAATGGAAGATGCTCAAATTACTGTTGTTTAAATGATCTGAAATAACAGTGATTGTTTAAATGACACTGATTTCATGGTAGACTAAACAATTTGTAGTTTCTAAGGCATCAGAACTTAATATCCAATGTAGTGTACTGAACATGCTTTGATAAGTACTCTGACATCCTTTCTTGTTCTTGCAGAGCTGAACAATATTGAATTTTACTGTGGGAAGGCAGAAGATGTTGTCCCTTCCCTGATGAACATCTTGGCCCCTCAGAACCTGGTCACTATTGTGGATCCCCCCCGAGCAGGGCTGCGTAAGTTCCCCAGCGGGGGCCGTTCTCCTCAGGGGTGCTGGGTGGGGAACCCAAGGAAACACCAACGGGACAGATGAGGTGAGGCTGCAGGAACAGCCTGAACCAGTGGGTATTGCAGCAGTTTGTTCCTGGAGTTTCTCTGCCAGAGCCAGTAAAGAGCTGTCTTGGTTTTGTTCATCCAGATTCCAAGGTAATTCTTGCCATTAGAAGAGCTGAACATCTGAAGAAGCTCATTTATGTCTCCTGCAATCCCAGAGCTGCGATGAACAACTTCGTAGAGTGAGTGTTTCTTGCATTAGGTTGACTTAGTAAATATCTTAAGAAGACAAATTGTGCTTGCTGGGGAGGGGGAGCTCTCAGAAGAACAGCAGTGGGGATGAGCAATTAAAACATGGATTCATTTCTTCCTCCCCTTTCTGTCCTTTCCCGTTCAGCCTCTGCCGGGCCCCGTCCAACAGGGTGAAGGGAGCCTCGTTCCGCCCGGTGCGAGCCATGGCCGTGGATCTGTTCCCCCAGACCCGGCACTGTGAGTTACTGCTCTGCTTCGAGCGCCTGCAATTCACCAACGGGAGCTCTGCAGCTGCTCAGCCCACGGCAGGAGGGGTCCCCTCGGACACAGCAGGGAGCGAGGCAGCTGCTGCCCATGGAGACACTGCAGGCCAGGCCAGGGAGTCACCCTGACTCAGAGACACTGCAAAACCACTGCCTTGCCAGCTGCGTCCGTAACATCGTGTCTGTAACATCCAGGGAATAAATCTCTGTACAGCAGAGGAGGTGCAAGGCTTCGAGTTCTTTCCTCATACTCATGAATTAAATTTCATTATTGTAGAACCACAGAATGGTTTGTTTTGGAAAGGACCTTAAAGATCATCTCATATCAAGTCCCCTGCCATGGGCAAGGACACCTTCCACTGGACCAGGTTGCTCACAGCCCCTTCCAGGGATGGGACATTAGATACTATTAAGCCCAAATTCTACTTTTCTCCTCCTGCCCGTAGTGGTCTCCCTCTTTGAAATGGCTTTAAATAAAGTATTCCACAACTCTATGCAGATACAACTACTTGAAACCTGGGCTGATTTTTAGTGCAACAGCACCCCTTCCCCTGAGTGTGAACACACCACCCTCAGTGAACAGCCAACACCGGGGCACTGTTTTAGTTGTAGCCCTGTGCAGCAGGAGACAAAAGCAGTTTGTGTTTGAGACAAACCCCCAGCACAGACACACCAGGACAGGGACCCCACTGAGCACCTGCAACTGCACCTCCCGTGTGTGGAGACAAACCTGCTGAGAGCCCCAGCCCAGCACGAGGTGCTCTCCAGGCAGAGTCACTCTCCCCACACGCTCAGCAGCTGCCATGAACAGACTGTGATCCACATCCAGAGCAGACAGAACAGGGACTGGGAGAAGGAAAAACCATCTTAAATCTCAACTTACCAAACATAATTCTGATACACATTTAATGTGGCCTGAACAACAACAGCTGTGCTGACACCCCACCTGTCCAGTGACAGCAGCACTTTGGGCTGAGACACTCCCAACCTTGACATCATTTAGGTAAAAATACAAATCCCAGTGCAAGAAAACACTGTAATTTAATTCTAAGTGTTTAACCATTTAAACATTCCATTCCTTACCAAAAAGGTGATCAAGTACTTCCCTAACCAAGAAGTTAGAGCCTGCACTAATTTAATTTCTATTAAAAACACCTACAGGAACTCAAGGTATAAAAAAAGTTCCTTTTTCTAGATATGCTTAAGCCATGGTAATACTGATCACACTGGTGCATTTTATAATATCAAACTTTATTGCTCAAAACTAATTGTCTGAAAAATACACATGTAGTACTCAAAGACCAAACACAGAGGATTACATGATTGTGCAGAAAAAAAGCAAGCAGAGGCTCAGTGAAAATGAGGCTTTATAGTTGTACCAATTTAGCACTGGCATCAAGCAACTGCACCCACCACAACTCAAAGAGCAACCATTGTTACCTGCTCGGGCAATAAGGATGGACTCGGGTTTGTTTTGTTTTCCCACCTCCAGATCCACACTGGAATACTGTAACTGATCATTTTATTTGGTTAATAACAGCATGGCTTCTTGCACTTCACATTCCTTCCCACGGAAAGTTAGGAGGATATCACTTCCTGAACTTCACTCCAGGACCAAAGTACAGTTTAGAGAATTAATAAGATAATCATGATGCTTTTAAATACTTGGATGTTACAAATATATTTATATAAAGCCTAACAGCATCACAGGAGAATGGAACTTTACATACAACAGTTAAGTTTATGCATAATAGTCTTTCCAAACTTCTGAGTACCCAACTAATTCATCAGTTCTGCCTAATAAATATGTAAAAAAGCTGATGACTGGTGTTTCAGTAGGTAGCATCTGACTAGTCACTGCAAGTCACAGTAAGTTTTCTGTCAGTACCATGAAGATTTGAATGCACACTAATTGAATCCTTAAAGTCAATAAACCACACTTTTGTCAAGAAGCACATAATATGCAAAGCAAAACTGTCTAATCCCCAAAGGATGGAACAGTTCTTAAAAATACACTCCATCCCTAGAAAAATACCCATCTTCCTCTGGATATAGAAGGGATAAATAACAAGTATCAGTGACAAAAGCAGCAGTTGTTTTATGCATTCATACAATCAGATCTAAACCTTTACAGCCGATTACCTAGAAAACACACAAGTTTACAAGACAAGTTTAGGATACATCTTGAATCACACTGTAAGTGTTCATGCAGAAGCTGAAGTTAATGCAATGATCTATCCTCTATCACAGCAGCTCGTGCTTATGTGCAAATGCAAGACTGTTACACTCCAAACAATAGTAAACATTAAAACACAAGAATACTCCACATGACATAAACAGCAGTTCCTTGTTTGTTCCAGCAGTTATTGCGGGTTCCTGGACATCTCTCCAGTTAAAGGCTGCAGCAAGGTCTGATACCATCGTGGTGGTTGGTTTTTGTTTAGAATGCATAATACACGTTCTAGGCTTTGGTTCACAATGAAATCTCTGGGTGTTTATTAAGGGCAATGGTCACCTTGTGAATCTGATAGTGGCAGAGTGAGGTAATACAGCAATCCTCTTAAAATTAATGAAAACAAATTGGTAAGCGAGGCATCTATGGATATTCTGCAGGTGACCTGCAAATGCATTGACATTCTGGTTTCAGAAAAATAAAGAGATCTACAAGGGTGATTTGTCTTTTACAGTGCCATCCAAGTACAGATTTTTCTGCTGAAAACAGAGAAGCTGAAATAAAACCTATCTATTTAGGCATAGAAGATATAAGCCCTGTCTTTAGGAAAATAAACAAAAAAAAAATCCAATAAAAACAAAAGAGACAAACAGCAATCGCTGCTTGTCACTGCTGCACCAATATTATATACCCTTCAAAAGATGGAGATTTATTAAAGCTATACAAAAAAAAGCAGAGGCAGTGTTTTTTGTTTCTTTTTTTTTTTTTTTAAGACAGGCCACTTCTTTAAATAATAAGTTTATGTATAGTCTTCCAACTACCCGTATCCTGTTGTACCAGGATTACAACTCATGGAACTAAAAAGCTAAATACAATAATAAAAAATGAGTGGATTTGTATTTGCAGAGACCTCCGAGGGTATCACTCAAACACAGAAACAGGTGAGACTCCAAGACTCCTCCTGTTTAACCTCAAACATCATATGCAACACGTTAGAGAACATCAGCTTGAAATATAAATTCAACTCCACGTGTTTCTAAAGTAATGCATGATGTAAAAGGAGGTCTTACAATACTGATGCCAACATTGTTAAAATCCAGTAGGCACTAAATTCAATATACTGCAGCGCTCTCCATGTAACACGGGAAATCAAAAACCCCCCAGCAAAAATCAAAATTAAAATCAAAGCAAACAACCCCTGGAGCCCCCAGGTCCCTGTCCAGGTAAGGGGCAGGAGCTGCAGCAGGGGCAGAGGAGTGAGCTGGGTCACTCCCCAGAGCAGGAGGAGGGTGGGACAGAGCAGGGCAGCTCCTCCACGAGCCACTGAAGCACCAGCTCAGCTTTCACCGTCCCCTCAAAGAGCCAACACAGAGCAGTTCCCAGAGCAGGGACCACTGCAGGGTCACAGAGAACCCCCCAGAGAACCCAGGGATGGTTCCAGAGCAGAACCACTGCAGTCCCACAGAGAACCCCACTGGGAACCCAGGGATGGTTCCCAGAGCAGAACCACTGCAGTGCCACAGAGAACCCAATGAAGAACAAACCCCACAAGTGGGGCCTTCCCTGCAGCAGCAGCTCCTCCTGTGCTGTGCCTGCCAACACCTCCTGCCTGTGCTGCCTGCACTGCCTGTCCTGCCTGCACTGCAGCTGAGAACACTTGCATATTTGTGACTTCCTTAGTCAGGAGCATAGCCAGTTATGGTCTCATTCTACTCATTTACTCTATGTCATAACCCAAATCTACATTCTAGTTTGCAGAAGTTACACATTGTCTTTAAAAACTAAAAATGTCATTAAAAAAAGTAAAAACAAAGGCTTCTTAAAAAAAAAAAACAACTAAATTGCTGCAGTTATTTCAGATTTTAGGGTTGTGTTGATTCTTTTATATTCTTTGCTTTTATGGTGCAAATTAATTAAGACTTAATTGATCAAGTCAGATGTAATCTGACACCTAACAAATAAGAAATTGTTTTATTGCTGGGAGAAGGGAGTGGAAAATCTTTAAACACATCATTGGCAAAGTATATTTAGACTATCAACCATCATCAGCTGCGTTTTGGCTCCAAGCTTTGAAAACAGCCTTTCAAACTACAGTTTTTATTTTAATCATATAACTAGGGCCATGTTTTCCCTGTTCAAGTGATCTGTAAACTAACACAGGCTCTTTTCATTTTAAATAAACTCCAGTAATTTTGGACATCCAACCTTATCTTAACACTACCAGGTGTACTTGTTCTTTTCAAGTAGTAAAAAAAATCTGTATCCTGTGCTCTCAAATAAAGCCTGGCAGGAGACAAAAAGCAAAACAAAAACAGCATTACTGGCCTAATCCTATGGCATTAGGAACATTGCTCATCACTTTCCTGTATTTGTCACCAAAGTGTCTTATCAGTGCATATTATTATGTGCTGAAATGCAACAAAACTTTTTCACAAAAATAGTTTTAGGCATGTTCATACAAGAAGATGTACATATATTTCTTTTATATATACATATATATGAATGTGTATATATATAATATCGGCTTCAACCTGTACATAGATATTCTGAATTTCATACTTAAAATACATCCATTTCAAACAACATGGATGGCTTTCCAGGAAAAAGTGCTTGATTGATTTTATCCTGTGTGAACATGCCTGTGCTCTGTGCATTTGCCAAGTAAGAGACCTTTATGATCGATCCTTTAAACGTACATATCTCAGAGGTATTAAAAAAGGAAAAATACCTAACCAAAGAAAAAGAAACTAGGAAAAAGTAATATTGCCCTGATGATGCAAAAAAGAACAATGCATAACTGAAGCAGCTTGGATTTTAAAAGTTATCTTGCATTCTGCAGCAAACAATTTTTAAATAATTGTTGAAAATCTAGTTCCTCCATTTGTGTTATTGCTCCCCACTTGCATTTTCTCCTCACACATCAACAGTGCAGAGAGGTTCACTCCCGGGCTGAGCTGACTCCACTATTGTCATCTTGGGTTTCTTTCGTGTTTCCTCCTACAAAAACATGAAACCCCCCCACCACACAGTCAGAAAGAGAAGGGAATCACAACACACCATTCCAATTTTGTACCATTTTAGCCAAACTTCTGTCAGTCGCTGTGAAAGGCT